CTGCCGCTAGGTGAGCGCAGCACTGCGGTGACACGTCCCCCCCCCCCTTGCTGCGTCGCCGCCGTCGCCCCGCAGGGACGTCCGCAATTTGCTGGTGATTGGGACTGCGCCAGCGGCGGCTGGGTTGAACCGGCAGCCCCAGCCGCTGCGTCCCCCCTCCTGAACCCCCCCTCCCCTTCTCACAACACACACACACCAATTTGGACGCGACGAGGCCTCTTGGGTTCCGACTCCCCTTTGGAATGCCTGACTTGAGCCTGCTTGGGTGTTGCCGCCGCCGTCTGTGCATCCACGCGCACTCCACCCCAATCCTCCACACCACCCAGAGGAAAATCCCGTCGTGCGTGTACGTGATGCACACACATGTATGCTGTATATACACATGTGTATATATTTGTATATCTTCACATGTGTACATGCATTGATGGATCCCATATATAATCAAACGCCGCCCCAGGTGGACCTGCGCGGTCATGGCGGGTCAACCGACCTCCCCGGCCTCCACCCCCCCCCCGCCCCACACTATCGAGGCGGCCGCCGCTGACGTCATCCGCACCCTGCGCGCGCGGCTGGGGGGCGCGCCGCATGTGCTGGTCGGCCTTAGTCTCGGAGGGAAGGTGAGGGGGCGGGTCGGGGCTCTGGTGCTTCGGGGTTTGTGGCAGCAACGAGGGGAGGGCAGCAGGGGCGGCGCCTTTGGGCCCGCAGGAGGCGCAGGTGCTGCTTATGCCGCCCAACTTCAATGCACCCATTGGCCCCACCCGCAGCGGCAGAGCGGCCCGCCCCGCTGCCGGCCTGGGCACTGAAAGTGAGCGGGGTGCTACCAACCCTGATGGCCCGTAAAACCCTGATCAGGTTGTTTTGGACGTGCTGAAGCAGCTGCACGAGGAGCAGCTGCGCCACATCGCAGTGCTGGAGGCCGAGAGCGAGGTCTCGCAGAAGGCGAAGGGGCAGCAGCAGCAGCAGCAGCAGCAGGAGCAGGCATTGGGTGGGACAGGCCAGCCGAGCCGCGCGCTGCCGCTGCAGTGCTGGGTGCTCGACAGCCAACCAGGCACAGTGACGGCCGAGGAGGACGGCCCGACGTCGGTCGGCCGAATCTTATCGTTCATCGCGCAGCAGCCGATGCCGGTCGCGAGCCGCCAGTCCCTCGTCTCTGCGCTCGAGCGCGAGGGCCTCCCGCGCTCGGTCGCATGGTGGCTCGGCAGCGGCCTCGCGCCCGCGTCGCCGGCGGAGCCCGCGGGGCCGCTGCGCTGGGCGTTTGACGCGCGCGGGGCCGCGGCGCTCTACCACTCGTACCGCATGAGCGACTGCTGGGCGGCGCTCGAGCGGCCGCCGGCGGGGGTGACGCTGCATTTGGTCCGCGGCGAGCGGTCTGACAGGTGATGGGCACGCGCCCTGCTCCCGCCAACGTGCGGGGTCCGACTTGCGCGTGCTGGCGCCTCGCGTGGGCGCTTTGCAGTCTGCCGGGCGGCCGGTTGAACTTCCCACGCGTCCGCGCCAGACACAGCACGCACGGCAGCCGGGGGCGCGCCTCCGGGGCCCCCTGCGGCTCCCGCGACGCGGCGCGCCATGCGTCCGCCCTGCCGCGCCGCGCTGCGCGGCGCTAGGCCCCTGGGCTCCCTCATCGGACGCCCAGGGCTCCCGAATCACGCCCCAAAACCCCACAATCGACCGAAACCTCCCCGCGGCGGTTTCAGGTGGACCCCCACCATGCTGCAGCGTCTGGACCAGGCACAGGCGGCTTGGCAGGCGTCGGAGGTCGCCCACGGCGACGGGGTGGGCCGGCTGCGCCTGCACGTCCTGCCAAATGCGGGCCACTGGCTCCAGGTGCGCACACGGCTGGAGCCCGCGCCGCAGAGCGCAGAGGCGGCGCGGGCGCGGGCGGTCGCGGCTGGTGCTCAGCGGAAGCCATGTTGCCAGATTATGCTAGTGTTTGGGGGTCGCGTTGAAGGGCGTGGGACACGCGGGCGCCTGACGGCTGCACTGCGGCCCGGCCTGCCCACCTGGCGCCGCCTCCCCCTCGCACCGCCGCGCTCACGCCCGCGCCGCGCCGCGCGGGCACCGGGTGACACCCCCGACCAGGCACCGCCCGCC